ACTAAAATTAAGGAAATTTCTAAAAAAAACTGAGGATCATTCAAACCTGGATGGCCAAGTTAAGGACGCTGTCTGAACGAGTTTCTTTTGGAGACATAAATTAGACTTCTTAATGTGGATCCCAACGACCTCAACAATATTAAGTTGTCGAACTCTTAAGGCAAAATTGAGATTCGTAGGTATGCGGTAAATGACCCTGAAAGCATGCTTAACGTCAATCTTGTGTTCTGTATCCACAAGATGAGAGAGAATAGCGCTACGAATAGATTTTGTTTGTCCTTTGCTTAACCAGGCAGGATGATGTTCGGAAATTCGACGAGAAACACGCCTAATTGTACGGCCTTGAAATACAAACGCAATCTAATAAAGTGCTTGGTCCACAGAGCAAGAGAGATTTGCTCAGACGAATGTCTTGACGAGGAACTTAACAATATTAAACGGTTGCTAAGTGAGAATGGTTATCCTGAAAAGTTTATTGATACGAATCTGAATCTGAAACCAAAGCAGCCGAAGTTACCAACAGTTCCCAAAAAAGGCATTATTCTTACAAATTCAGTTCCTCGGGGACAACATCAGTGAGATACTAACACAACGCCTTAGGAATGTGTTAAAAAGAGCATTCCCTGCTGCTGAATTACGCTGTATCTTTAAGACCACTCCTCTTCTGCGTTCGGGAGTAAAAGACAAACTGCCTAATTTCGCCTCTTCCATGTGTATCTACCAATTGAACTGCTCCTGTGAGGCCAGTTACATAGGCCGTACAATTAGGCGTGTTTCTCGTCGAATTTCTGAACTTCACCCTGCCTGGTTAAGCAAAGGACAAACAAAATCTATTCGTAGCGCTATTCTGTCTCATCTTGTGGAGACAGAACACAAGATTGACGTTAACCATGCTTTCAGGGTCATTTACCGCATACCTACGAATCTCAATTTTGCCTTAAGAGTTCGACTACTAAATATTGCTGAGGCTAGCAGTTGGGATCCATATTAACAAGCCTAATTTATGTCTCCAAAAGAAGCTAGTTCAGACATTATCCTTAACTTGACCATCCAGGTTTGAATGATCCTCAGTTTTTTTTTTAGAAATTTCCTAATTTTACTTGATATTCTATTCGCTGTGATATTTTTATTATTATTATAATTTATACATCTTTAGTGAACTGTAATTGCATTGTGATCTTACTTAACAAATCGATATTATCTAAAGAAAACACCAATATTGTTATTGACTACTAATCTAGAATATTCTATGTATATAAACATATATATAATTGTAGAACCAGAAGAGGAATTTATCGAAAAGAATATTCTTTGCTCAATTATTTTGTGTTTTATAGATGTCTGAATGAATATTTTTGCTATAACGAATTTATTATCAAGCTGTACAATCGTATACACAGAAATATGGCTTTTAAGAAATTATATCCGTTAAGGGAATCAGATCAAAGGTGTGAATACATGAAATAATAATATTAATAATAATAGTAGTAGTAGTATGAAATGCAATCTAAATATTTGTGATTATAATCATAGTTAAATGTCAAGTAGCAAAACAATTAATAATAATATTACATAAGATGGATGGATATATAGATGTTTTTGGGAGGGGCTGCATAATTATAAGATTAATAGGCGAATATAAAATGTTGCATTACATGGTGTGAAATTTGATAAGATGGAATTCAATATTGTAAAAATAAAATAAAATGGAGACAGTGGATTTTATATGTGAGGAGATTACTACACGAAACATAGAAATCGACATTTCTGTATCCACCTTGAAGGAACTTATTTTAAGATGTACAATGAATGTTCATTTCTTATTCAATAAGGAATATTACAGGCAAATTGATGGTGTAGCTATGGGTTCACCATTAGGTCCAATCCTAGCTGATTTTTTCCTCGCTAGAGTTAGAGAATGGACCACTGAAAGGATTTGGATTTCTACTGTCGATATATGGATGACACATTTGTGGTTTTGAAAGACGAAAATGATGCAATGAACAACCTTGACAAGTTTAATGATGTACATTCAGCAATAAACTTTACCATAGAGAAAGAAAGCAGTGATACTATCTCATTCCTAGACGTCTTCATGTTAAGGAAAGAAGATGGCACACTAAGAAAGAGTGTGTATAGGAAACCTACAACAACAGATCAGTACACCCATTTTTTAAAGTTAAGTGTGTCTGGTTCATAGAGCTAGGTTAATCTGTTCAGACGACTGCCTCAATGAGGAGCTTAAGATTATTAGAGAATTACTTAGAAAAAATGGTTATCCAGATAAATTTATTGAGAAGAATATGAATTCAGCACCAAGGAGAGTCAGTATACCAACAGTCCCGAAAAATCCAATGTTCACAAAACTGCAGTTCCTCGGTGACAACATCAGCGAAATAATAATACAGCGCCTGAAGAATGCAGTTAAAAGAGCTTATTATGCAGCAGAGATACGCTGTCTCTTCACAACCACCCCTATTCTACGTTTGAGAAATAAGGATAAACTACCTAAATTTGCCTCTTCTGTGTGTATCTACCAGTTTTACTTCAGCTGCGGAGCCAGCTACATTGGGCGTACAATTAGGCAGTTTCATCGTCGTATTTCTGAACATCATCCAGCGTGGTTAAGCAAGGGACAAATAAAATCTATTCGTAGTTCTCTTTTAGCACACCTCGTTGATACTGAGCACAAGGTTGATGTGAATACTGCATTTAAAATTATTTATCGCATTCCGACTAATCTTAATTTTGCTCTATGAGTTCGTCTTCTACATACAACAGCTGAAGTAATAGGAATTCACCTGAAGAAGCCAAACCTGTGTGTTCAGAAGAAATTTGTACAGCCACTTTCCTTACCTTGGTCATCGTTACATGAATGCATAAACCGGACTACTTCGCCACCCTCCCCCTAAACCTTTAAAATTATAAAAACTATCACTGTCCAAATTATTTTATTTTTTCTGACCACTTCATCTTTAATTACGTGTTATCCTTGTAAAATTAGTTTATTCTAACCATTTCTACCTTTTAAATGTGTAGTGATTTTCTTCGTTAATTATCAACCCATTGACATTTTGACACTGACTAATTATTGTTAACAAACATATCAGTGCCACTTGATTGGTAAACTGTTGTGTATTGTAATAAAAATGCTTTACGTGTATATTAGAGTAGAGCCAGAGTGATATGAGGATCTAATTGAAAAGGAAATATTTCTTCGCTCAACCCTTCTGCTTTCTAAATGTCTAACTGGGGATTTTTTCTATATTAAAAATAAAATAAAAATTTTGGATTTCGAATGATAAGTGGGACAGGCGGAAACAATTCAGAGTGAGAATAATAATAATGATAGTAGTAGTAATTTTTCATCCAAACATGCCCTGGATGAAAAACTTCGACCGGAACAGGCTGGATTCAGGAGGAACAAGTCATGCATTGACCAGATCGCCACATTACGGATCATCGTTGAGCAAAGCTTAGAGTGGCAGTCACCTCTCTACCTCAACTTCTTCGATAGCGTCGATCGATAGGTGCTTTGGCAACTACTTCGCTACTACGGGGTGCCACCGACAATAATACATCTCATCCAACAGCTATACGACAATGCTGCATGCCAAGTAATCCACAATGGGGAACTTGCGGAATCCTTCGAAGTGAGGACAGGAGTAAGACAAGGCTGCCTACTATCGCCAATGATTTTCCTGATTGCAGTATACTGGATAATGCGACAAACAGTGGGCAATGAGGAAACAGGCATAAAATGGACACACACAAAAAAAAGGGGGTGGGAGAAGACAGAAAACAGAAAAATCTAATAAACATTGTTAGCTTGTACGTCAACATGGTAACTCAAGGAGGTTAAACTTCATCAAATTGAAAACTTGCTTAGTGAGCTCACTAGTGTGTATGTCTAATCAGAGTTTGAAGGGAAATAGTGAAAACATTATAAGATGAACGCATCAGGAATATTGCTAGTACTGTAACAACAGGAGACAAGGGCCAGGCAACAGATCGTTTATTAAGGAAATCAAAGCATATTTATATATTTTCATGTACATTATTATGGATTAGTTAAGCAAACAAACACAGTCTTCTGATTGGTGGTTTCTCACTTAAAGTTAATCTTTCATCTCTTTGTGACTGTTTCTTGAATGTCACATCATCTATATGTTAACTGTATCCGCCTACGCAAAGTCTGCTGTGGTCGGTTTTGAATCAATCTTTTTTCACATTTTCTCACGACAAATCTTGGGAACGTAAATATTGACGTAAATTACTGTCTACCAATTTGGCTAGTAGACAGCTCTCACCACAGTACTACAATTTTTAGTTTAAGTTTTCATCATCAATTTATATGCTATCAAAATAAGAAAAAAGAGGGGGGCTGAAAAAGACAGAAAACAGTGTTAGCTGGTACGTCAACATAGCAAATCAAGAAGGCTAAATTTCATCAAACGGAAAACTTGCTCAGTGAGCTGAGTTCACTAGTGTGTATGACCAGTCAGTGTGATCAGAGTAATACGGATACGAAGGGAGTGAGAGATTGACTGCACTCTCTCTGTCTGTGTGAATGAGTTTGGTGTGAAACGCTTGATTTCAATTGCTTCAGCAGTAAATCGTAGTAGATTCGCTGTCCTTTGTATGTTTAACATTTTGAAGGATTTGGAAATCTCGACGACGTGACCCGTATCCACATGGTGGGTGGTCTGGTAATCGCACTTTGTAAATATCTACTTCTTTTTAAGCACAAGTTTCTTGGAATGTCCTCTTAAAAGAAAGCAGATATGCTCTCCAGACTAATCAATATATGCTACTATTAGAGGTCATATTTTTACTATATTTAAACCAACTGACTAATAGAAAGTCCATGCAATATGCAACATGATGGAGGTCGTTTTTGGTGGTAGGTGCGCTGGTAGGCCAAAATTTCAAACACGCCACCATTATACTTTATACTGATACCCCCCCCTGCCTCTCCTTTTTTTCTCTCTCTCTGTCAGGTTGTATGGCGTTCAATACAAACAGAATTTATGACTCAATGTTTACGCTTTAGTAATTTAATTCAACAATGTTATCCAGATTCAGGAATATGCTTAGAATTTACAGTGAATGATTTACAAAATTATTTTGCTGAAATTGCCCGTTCACGTTAATCCCAGTAACAGTGTGGGTTCGAGTCCCTCAGTGTGTGTGTGTGAACAGTATACCCGACACTGACGGTGATTGATTGATTCCAACAGATTGAGTTGCACAAAATACATTAATTACGTCATCTTTTTTCTTATACAATTCTTCAAATGTGTGTCTATACGAACGCTTACATGGACTACTTACAGGCTGAAGAGTGTACTCATGCCTAAAGCAGAGATGCATACTTTAGCCTCATGGCTTATCGATTATGCGCGTATGATTGCTAACTTCTATGCCAATTTCATGATGGTGATAATGACTTCAGTTATTCGTTTTGTCTTCTTTTTTTTAATTTCTGATATAACTTATATATACTTTGTATCTGAATAAAATCAATAGAAAGAATCGATTTTTTTATTTTTTAAAAATCCTGTTTGCATTTATATATCTTCTTCGTGTGTGTAAACAAACACCATTTTCTTCCCTTCACGTTCCCCAGTGGAACATAAGGCTTCAAGCTAGAGGCTTGAAGTTTCTGTGGCAGTGCTTATTTTACAGGATGAGGTTGCTAGCCTCATGCCCAACCTTTACTCTTCACCAGCATTATTTCTGGCTTAGCGAGGTAAAGGAGTGAGTCGGCCGGGGATTGAACCCCGGACCATGTGCATGGTCGGTGAGCGTCCTAACCGCTATGCCACCAACGCACAAACAAACACAAAGATGAGTCTTTTTTATGAACACAATATTCAGCGGTGGTAGAGACTCTCACCAACAACGAATTTATTATCAAGTTGTGTAATCGTATCTGTACACACATATGGCTTTTAAGAAATTCTATCCCGTGAGGGAATTAGATCAAAGATGTGAATACATGAAATAATAATGATAATAGTGGTTATTATTATTATTGTTCCCTTGGGTTCCTAGTGGAACATAGGGCTTCAACTGCACGTCTCCACTTGCTTCTGTCTTCTCCTGTACTTTTCACCTGCATCCATGTTAATCCATACTGTTTCAGTTCCTCATCACACGATTTCCTCCATGTCACCCATGGACGTCCCACTACTCGCCGCTTCCCTTTCGGGTTCCACTCGAGCGTTGGCCTGACGCGCGATGTCACCAAGCTGCCTCCTCAGCAAGCGAGTGTCCAATCCATCTCCACTTTCTCCTGCATATTTGTTCAGCGATTGGTTCTTGTTTTGTTTGTTCCCATAGTTTCTTTCCGGCCATCTGATCTTCAGTATATAGCAAAGACAGCTGTTGATAAAGGTCTGCAACAGGCTGTTGGAAATATTCTTTGTGACCCACCAAGTTTCTGAACTGACTTGACGTTTGTATTGAAACTCCGAATTTTGTTGTTGATACTGGCTGAGTGACGAAGATTTCCAGATTGGTTTCAGGTTGATGAATGTGTTTCTCGCCTTCCCGATTCTCGATTTGACATCCTCGTCCGTTCCTCGTGTAGTTGAGACAATGCTCCCTAGATAAGTGAAAGAAGTAACCTCTTTCAAATCCCCAACTCCGTTGATGGTGATTGGCGCTGGACGTTGTTGCTGTTGTTGTTGTTGTTGTTGGTTGGTTATTTTCATAACCTCCGTCTTGTCTATGTTCACCTGGAGTCCTGTCTTCACTGCCTGCTTCTTCGACCAGTTTGTCGGTTTTCGCTTGTAAGACTCCGTTTTTGTGTGACATCAAACTGAAATCATCCGCGAAATCCGGGTCTTCTAGTTTCTTCACGTCGGTCTCGGATATCCCTGTCTTCTCGTTTCCCACTGTCTGACGCATAATCCAGTCCACCACAATTAGGAATATCATTGGTGATAATAAGCACCCTTGTCTGACTCCTGTGCTTACTCCAAACGCCTCGCTGAGTTTTCCGTTGTGGATCACTTGACGTGTGCCGTTGTCGTACAGCTGTTGAATAAGGTTGATGAATATTTGGGGTACGCCGTAGTACTCGAGTAGTTTCCAAATTACTTCGCGGTCAACGCTGTCGAAGGCCTTCTCAAAGTCTATAAAGTTGAGATAGAGGTTCGATTGCCATTCCATGCTTTGTTCTGTGATGATGATGCGTAGAGTTGCAATTCGGTTTTTATCATCCTGAGGACCCCAACCAACTAGTCAGGAAATCTGCTTCTCCCTACGTGGCTGGCTTAAACGAACTGTTGTGGATTTCATTGACTACTGAAACCGTGTTCTGGTTTGACCGCATGATAGCACCCATCATAAAATAGTGTATAATGTTTTTTCATGAACCGTGTGATTTATTTTGTGATGGAGTTACTATGTGAAGAATGTATCATTTCTCACACATATTGTGATTTAGTGTGTGTGTGTGTGTGATCAATTCACCTTCTTTTGTCTCACCTGGGTCTTTGTCGGATCACCAACCAATCAGTCCATTCACAGCGTTGTGAGTCAACTATATTGTGATAAATTAAATATATGTAAATATGATGTTTTGTTTCCTAATTGATGTATAATACAATACAATATCTGACAGTCACAGGCCAGCAGCCTTTGTCTTTCTTTTTATATTTGCCTGGCTCAGTGAATCGGATGGTACAACGGACAAATAGAGACGTATTAGCATACCAGTCGAGTTCATTACCGTGATAGCAAAGTAGCGGTTTTTTGTAGGGAATTTGTTTGTTTGGAACCAGATGATCCTGGGTGCGAACCGTGGCAGTGAGTGCATACTGTGAAGAGTCCAAAACTAATACGAAACAACTGTCCAGTACTCCCAGGTTTTCCAGTGGTTCTCTAACTGATGTCTGCTCTTGATGACATCCTCCATCCAATAACAAAGTAGTGACGGATTTATTCGGTTCAGTATCAGTTATATCACCACCTCTGGCTCTGTTTCAACCTGATCCATCCTATGCATATATATCGGTTTGGTAAAGTATAATGAAATCGCTGTGATTATTTATACTGCGGGATATACGCATGAAACCATAGGACAAAAGACAGTTACAGCAAAGACTTTTCTCGACGAAGTCATCAACTAGGCTGTACATTGGTGGATGTATGACAAAAGGATGCGAAAGTTCCAGAATTATTTCCGGTCGAAAGTCAAATTATAACTAATTGCAAGATAAACATTGTGTAATGCAAATAGGGATTAAAAACATAATAATAATAAAAAAAATAATAAACAGGAAGTTTGGATAAGAGAGCGTAATCGGGTAATTGTTATTGAGATAATTAACTATTTATGACGGCTATAGCATTGGCCTGAATTCTAGAATCTCTAATGATCCAGCTGTACCCAGATGCCTTGATATCTCTCCATTTGACAGGTTTGATTAGATCTGGTAGGGGACTTTGAAGGATTTTTCAAATGAAGTTGAGTGTCCTAAGTTCATCAGATGTTCTGTCACTGAAAATTATTAATAGGCGAATACTGTGAGTTATTATTATTATTATTCCCGTGGGTTCCAAGTGGAACATAGGGCTTCAACAACACATCTACACTTTGTTCTACTTGGTACTGTCCTCGTCAGCTGGGTTCATGATTATCTACAATCTCGCATCTCTTCCTCGCCACACAATCTCTTCCATGTCTTCATCACATCGACGACCAACTCTTCGCTTCCTATTAGGATTCCACTCGAGCTGTGGCCTGGTTGGCGCGCGATGTCATTCGGCGGCCTCCTCAATGTATGTGCGATCCATCCATCTCCATTTTCTCCAACATATTTGTTGAGCGATCGGTTCTTGGTTGGTTTGTCACCAACCAACTAATTCTTTCCGGCCATTTCACCTTCAGTGTGGAGCCAGCCAGCTAAGATGACAGCTGTTGATAAAAGTCTGCACCTGACTGTTGGAAATCCCCTTCGTGAAATGCGCAGTTCAAATTTCTGACCCGTATAGAAGAACCAACTTCACATGGGTGCTTAAAATGCGAATCTTGTTACTTATGCTGAGTGACAGTGGAAGATTTTTAAACTAGTTTGAGATTGACGAAGGCGTATCTTGCTTTTCCGATTTTGACTGGCTGCCTCTGACGTCTTCATCCGTTCCGTCTGCCTGTAGCTGAAATGGTGCTTGCTTCGACGAAGTCATCAACTAGGTTGTACATTGGTGGATGTATGACAAAAGGATGCGAAAGTTCCCGAATTATTTCCGGTCGGAAGTTAAATTATAACTAATTGCAAGATAAACATTGTGTAATGCAAATGGGGATTAAAAACATTGTAATAATAATAATAATAAACAGGAAGTTTGGATAAGAGATCGCAGTTGTGTAATTATTATTGAGATAATTGACTATTTATAACGGCCATGGCTTAACCGCCTATTTTGAATATATAGCTTTGGCTTGAATTTCGGAATCACTAATGTCTCAACTATACCGAGATGTCTTGACTGTTATCTACTATTATTATTCTCTTGCGTTCCGAGTGGAACATACGGCCTCAACAACACATCTCCACTTTGTTCTATTTTCTGCCATCCTCTTCAACTGGGTCCACGATTGCCTACAATCTCTCATCTCCTTTTGGCCACACGATCTCTTCCATGTCACCCTCGCACTGATGACACACTCGTCGCGTATCGTCTCATTTGGATTCCACTCGAGCGATGACCCGCATTGCGTGCGATTTTATTCGGCGGCCTCCTGAATGTATGCCCGATCCATCCATCTCCATTTTCTCCTACATATTTGTTGAGTAGTTGGTTCTCGCCTGTTGGTTTGTTGTCAGCCAAAGTTTCTTATAGCTTATTCTTTCTGTCCAGCTGGCCATTTGATCTTCAATATGCAGTTGGTGAAGGCATCTGTTGATAAAATTCTGCAGAAACCTGTTGGACATCCTTTTCGTAACACACCGTGCAAGTTTCTGATCCGTATAGAAGAACTGACTGACTGACTTCGCACTTGTGTTGAATGTCCCTATCTTGTTACTGATGCTGAGTTAATGTAGAAGATTTCCACTTCTTCACTTCAGAGTGATGTGTCTTTGACATCTTCATCCGTTCCAACTGCCTGTGGTTGAAAGGGCGGTTCTTGGCTGGATATGTGAGGGAAGCAGCCTCTGTCAAATCTCTCCATTTGATGGTGAATGGTGCTGGTTGTTGTTGCTATCGGTTGGTTATCTTCATCACCTCCATCTTCTCTATGTTTACCTGGAGTCCTGTCTTCGCCACCTTATTCTTCAGCCAGCTTGTTGGTTTTTGCCTGTAAGTCTTCGAGTTTGTGTAGCATGAAACCTAAATCATCCACATGCGAAATGCAGATCTTCTACAGTCTTCTTATCGGTGTTATTGAACGCTTATTTTACTCTAGTATGAGAGTCTTCAAAAATGCATAACCATAGCCCTACTGAAAATTGAAACCACAACCCTGAGATTATA